CTAGCTGGCCCAAGCAACTCAAAGGTCCCCTTGGTAGTCAGTGTGCCTCTGTATCATCTCACCACCGCCAGATAAACTGCTCTTTTGGTAATGGGGCCCGAGAGCTCAGAATTCTCAACTAAAGAGAATGCCTATTTAGGACTTAGCAACCCAACCACTGAGCGGATAAAGGGCATTAGGATCAAAACACAAGGTCTTGTCATAGCCTTAAGATCAGGGCCCCTTTCTGAACTGCCTATAGTCCTAAATAATGAGTTTATGGTACATGCTAATGATTCTAATAATCATATTATTAATATGATAGACTACTGTAATAGAATATAGTAAATCTCCCCTAATGATTCTAATGTTCATAAGAAGGACTAAGGCTGAGGAGCATGCCAACAAATATTTACAGTGTTTTCAGTAGTGATTGAAACCAAAGGAATATCTATTTGGGGCTTTCAGATAAATTCCCTGGTTCTATGAAGGCACTGGAGTGGCAGACCCACAGTTGACATCAGAATGATACACACTTACGTGAAATCACCTGGAGGTCCAGAAGACAGGTGCTGGTCCCAATGGCGTTAGAGGCCACACACTGGTACAAACCTGAAGACAGAGCACTGATGTTCCGGATGGTGACCGTCCCCTGGACCTGGTCTGTCACACACAAACAAATACATATATATAGTGTCTGCGTGTGAGGATATGGAGAAAGAATGAGAAAATCAAAGAAATTAACAGAAAATAACACTAAAGAGACATAGATCAACACAGGAGAGTAATCCATCATTTCAACGTTTCCCTTTTGGGAGAAGTTTTTGGATCATGAATGCTGACGGCTAATATCACTACATCACACGAAAGGACTGACACTCTATGGGGCTGCTGCAAATGAAGTCGATCTTACAAAGATCTGCAGATTCCCGTGTCTACATCTTAAATGTCAGCCGTCTCCCCTGTGAGAATGATGGCTAGCATCTATCCTAGCGGATTTACGGTCAGTCAAAACAAATTTTGATTCTAAGGTAATGCATTAACTTAAGTTCATTCCAGTAATGCTCACTTCAGACCAGAAGAACTAACTGGCAGCTCCATGCCCTCTGCAGGACAGGATGCTAGTCCCTCCTCACACGTCTCCAAGGGGCCCCAAGAAGCAGACACTTAGACACAGAAGGGGTTCCTGAGCAAACAGATGGAGAGAGAGCTCGAGAAGGCTGGGAGAGCTCTCAGATGGTGATGCAGCTCTGTGTCCTGTGGAGAGAAGAGGGGAGGCAGGAGGATTGGGGAGAGAGATGATTAGGCCCCAGTATAATTTGAAGGACGTTTCAGCCAGGCTGATGAGGAGTTCGTGAGCCAAAGTGACCCATTCAAAAATTCCTGTATCTGGCAAGAGCAGTCCTGTATGAGTAGCCCCACGGTGTCCACATCTCAGGCTGGGAACATGCCAGGCGAATCAAGCCCTCCGTGCAAATGCTGTGGTGGATCCAGGGGGGTTTCTGCTGGGGCTTGTCAGCCCACTAGGCTCCCAGGAAAGATGGGCAGGGCATTTTTAAGGTCACCTCACTGGTGTTAAAGAAAAGCTTCAATCATTCACATTGACAAAAGTAAGCAAAGTTAATGATATCACTCAGTATTTTTGTTTTATCGCCAGCTTTATGATGATTCCAGGGAGTAAACATTATTATGAATGCAATAGAACAAATAAGGAGACCGAGACTTTAAATGAGTAGTAAGATGAGAGTGCTTGTCCTTGGGTACTGGAATTGGATGGTGGGCTACCTGCCCTCAAAGATCTAGGCGTTATCAGCTCCCTTAGCCAGTACGTAACACGTCCAGCCACCTCCACCAGTCAACACACCTAGAAATTTACAAGTGAGCGTGAAGGCCTCCTTATCAAGGGAAAACGCAAACTCCTGACTCACAATGCCCATGTTTTTTGTGGGGCAAATCCTGTACCTGGTCTCACTCCCTTTTAATACAGGGCAGCGCCAGCAGGGGGCATATTGTTAACATAGAAGGGCTGCTAACGGACAGACTGGAGGTTCCAGTCCACTTAGAGGTACGCTGGGAAAAAGTCGGGGAAAACCCTCCAGAGCACAGTTTTACTCTGACACAAAGAGGGTCGCCGTGGGTCATCACTCATTCCACAGCAACTGGCTTCACATGGAACCAAGACTTAATTAGCTGGCTTCTGCTGGCAACCTTCATTTCTATCTACATCAAAGGCAAATGCCAAGAAAAGTGTCAGGACAGGCTGATAAGACATATTAAGTAAACATCTACTGTGTGCCTTTCTGAGTGTTGGATGACTGCAGAAGATGGCATACAATGATAAATGAGACAAATCCAGTTCCTACCTTGATAGACAGGTAGGTAAGCAATGACCCTAAGCATGGTTAAGTGCTGGACTAGATGACACAGGGTACTCGAGGGGCCCTGCAGGGGAGAATGATGAAGCTTTCTACTCGCCTAAAGATTTAGTCTCAGAAACCCACGGGGGGCAGTTCTATTGTCTTACCCTGTCCATATGAGTCAAGGTCAGTGAGTTTGGAGTTTAGTAGGGGCCACATAAGAGGGCATCTAACGGAACAGAGGGCCCTGCAGACTTGTCCAAATATCTTAATGAATTCAACAGCCATCGGGGTTCGAACTCTGTCCTCTAACGCAGTACAGTGGAAGGTGTTAATAAATGGCTGAGCCAGTAAAGACCCACTTGAATGAAACTCCAATGTACGCAACAAGGAAGGAGAGGTTTCAATGTTGTTCTTGTTACTGCTTTATGTAACTAAAGAGTTAAACAACTACGTGTTTCATTCTGTGGTAGAGAGAGTCACTAAGAGTCTGAGCCAACTGGCTGGCACTTACCAACAAGCATCTTACTTAGCTAGGACATAATGCTTGGTAACTTTATGCATTTGGAGGATAACACCTAAGTTTGTACACGTGGTCGGTTCTTAGCTCTCAGGTATGTATTACTTCTTTTCCTTCACAATGGGGCCATCTTTAGTTTTCGTTGGGGGTCACATGCACACTGAACATGGCATTTTAAAGACACCTCCTTTAATCTTCATTTCTTATTTTTTTCAAAAGTGAAAAGCCTCCGAGAAGCTATGCAGTTTGCCCCAGACCACACAGCACAGCCCTACCAGCAGTCTATATAGCAGGTTTCTCCGAGTCCAAACCTTGTAATGATTATCCATATACTTGACATTCCAATACAGGATTTAAAAACCACATTATTCTGCAGGGTGTATTTACAGGCTATTTTTTAATCATGAAATGCTTCAGTATTATCAGTATTAAACTAAGCTTCTAGCCTAACTCCTTCTTCAAAGCATGTCATGATGTCAGCATGCAAGAAAACCACAATGTTTGGACAACCAACCTTATAATCGCACACACTGTGGTTTGGTTTGGTTTTGTTCCTAAGCCCTGAAATCCTAGGAATGTGATCAGCTCACTCTGAAGTGATAAAAAGACTTTGTTTGGGATTTCCATAGGCACAACTGGGGAGAATGTCAACAGCTGACCGAGGTGGCTTTCTGAGGAAAGATTTAAAGTTTAAAGATCATGCATTTAAGAAGTTACTTTGAAAAAGTAGAACCACTTCCCTCCCTTTTATCCCTATAGATACCCAGATACCATAAGATGATTACTCTCAGAAGTTATTCTTAAATGAGCTTGGCAAACCCATGCTAGGGCTAATTCGGAATGTAATCAGGGAATGAGACAGACACAGTGACAGCAGAGGATTAACCAGGGGCCAAACCGCACTGTTGATGCGGACCAGGCCTTGCAGGGATGGGAGGCTTCATCAGTGAACACCAGGCTGTTTCCAGACAGAAAGCGCAGAGTCCTTCCTGAAACGACCAGCACCGTTCCCCAATCTGTCATTGTACTCGGCTTGCTCTGAGTCAGAGTAAATTACTGAAATCGCTGTGGAGAATAAACGTTCCTTCCTTTTAAGTGGGGAGATTTCGTCTGCGGGGAACTGCACAGTAGCTTGTCAGGTGCCATCAAGTCGTTCCCACCAGAGCGACTCTATCTTCACGAGGGAACACTGCGTGGTCCTGTGCCATCTTCACACTCTTCCTAGGCCTGAGCCCGTGTTGCAGCTGTGGTGCCCACCCATCTCCTTGAGGGCCTTCCTCTTCTTCGTGACCCTCTGCTTCACCAAGCATGACATCTTCCCCGCACACTGGTCTCTGACAACACATCCAAATGATGTAAAGTGAAGCCTTGCCATCCTTGCCTCTAAGGAGCACCCTAGGCTGTGCTTGTCCCAAGACAAATCAGTTTGTCCTTTTAGCAGTCCATGGTACTTTCAATATTTGTTGCCAACACAATTAAAATGCACCGATTCTTCTTTTGTCTTCCTTACTCCATGTCCAACTTTCACATGCAAAGTATGGAAAGCAATCAAATACAATCAAATCCCACTGCAGTAGTTCACAGCAACACCATATCCCCCACAAGTGATGCACCTGGGTGAGAATACCTTCATATCTAGAGAGAAGCAAACATAAATGTGTATTTCCAGGTCCAGGCTCTCTCTTGAAAGTGAAGACTCACATCCCAAACTGTGGACGGTGCAGAGGTTACGGGCTTGCGTTCTGGAGTGGGGCAGCCTGAGTTTGAATTCAGTGCCTCCGCCTACCAGCCTTCAAGCTCTTGAGAGTGCTACCTCCTCCTCTTCTCTGAACTTTCTTCATCTGGAACAGGAGGCCATCAAAGTGCCTACATTCCAAAGGGTTACTAGGAGGACTAAGTGAGATAATGCCACGTATCAGTAGTGTTTCCAAGTCAGAATCTCTTCAAGTTTCTTGGGAAGTTTACATAATTTTTTCTGAATCCTGAGAGAAATCGGTCAAAAAATTTGGTAAATGCTAAGAAAGATACTGTGAGTTCTAGTGTATCCACATTCCCAAGAGTTATTAATCTTCAGGATTTGAGGACAAGAAAAATAGATTCCTAAAATCTTATCCTCTATTTTTCATAACATGACTGATGCATTCTTTAGATAATAATGAACAATCATAATAATAAACATTAAGTCATTTCTCATAAGTTTTTAAGTATTCTATAAATATAAATTAGTAAATACATCATTTATTGAGATGATATACTACAACATGATTATATATTCTGATAATATAATGTAAACATAGATAACAGTAAAATGGAACATTAAAACCAAAAAGGACCAAAATAATTTTTAAAATTACAATGCATACATTTAATCTTTAAAATGTGTCATTCTTAGGATGAAAAAAATTTTAAATATGAAACAAAAAGTACATAGTTCAATAATTTTTAAAAAATCATTTTGTTGGGGGCTCGTACAACTCTTATCACAATCCACACATACATCCATTGTATGTCAAACACATTTGTACATCTGTTGCCATCATCATTCTCAAAACATTGGCTTTCTACTTGAGCCCTTGGTATCAGCTCATTTTTTTCCTTTGTTCCATGCCAAACAGTATAGAAAATCTGACTGCACTTTTGTGTTGTTTCACTGAATTAAGAGTATGCCCCAAAGCAACTTCAAGTTGGCCGTCATGGTACATACGGCTTCAAACTAGTTCATTTCCTTTATTCAATAATGAACATATTTATTTGCTTATCCTAACATGGGTTTTGCCACTGAAATCTATGTTGCTTTTGCCAATTCCAGATTTTAATCCATTTCTGATTTCATGCCACTGTATTTGACAGTAGCATTCGTCTCGTTGGATTTCTGCTGTGGAAGAGTTTACAAAGAACGTGGGTGGCTGGGTGCTGCAGAGGAGGTTCCGACTCCACCGCGATGCTGTGTACGAAGCACCATTGGGCTGCACCAGCCTCACAACTCTTTTTGCTTTGGAGCCCACTGTTGCATCTACCGTGTCCATCCAGCCGAGGAGTTCACTCTTTTTTGCACAATGTCCCTTTCCAGAACTGCTCTCTCCTGATAACCCGACCAAAGTGCGTGTGACAAAGTCTCACCATCCTCACATCCGAGGACTACTGGCGTTGTAATTTTTCGAAGGCGGATCTATTTGTTCTTTTAGCAGTCCATGGTACTTTAAATATACTTCACCAGCACCATAACTCAAATGCATCAATTCTTCTTGGGTCCTCTTTGTTCAATGTCCAACATTCACATGCGTATAAAGTGATGGGAAATGCCATGGATTCAGTCAGTTGCACCTTAGTCCTCAAAGTAAAATCCTTGCTCGTTTACAAAGAACTGCACCCCACAGCAAACATTCCCACATATCGGTGAACTTTGTTGGGAAATACTTAAATAACGTAATATTTTGATCTCCAGGTATTAATGGCATTTCACAAAATCACAAACACCAAAACTTATTTTGCTTCCAACACTCATTTCTTGGAATACCACTCAATGTATAAAATATGCTACGTGTATTAGCCAACGGAAGTCAATTGAAGACCTGTGCAAGAATGATTCACCATTAGTGACAGGTCCCTGAAGACACACTTAAACATTTAAAGCTTGGCAATGGTCCATTTACCTCTGGGTCATAACTATTTTTCTCCTATATATAATCTGTCTAGTTCCCAGAAATGTCAACATTTCTAGATTAAAAAAAACTATTAATATATATATATAACATAAATTATGCAGTCGGGTTTCCTGCATTTGGGGAAATCGCAGGGTCAGCACACCCGCAGCACAATGGGTGAGCCTCGCCCTGGGAAAACCACTTCCTGATCATGGTGTCTCCCCTACCAGGTCAGTATAAGATTTCTAGCCCTTGCTTGACAGCAGTGTATCTACACTGATGGTTAAGTCCTCATTCTCACCAGGAGTGGCACTTAGTGCTCAAGATATGTTAGCTGTTATCATTCTTTCAACTCCCATTTAGAGATACTGTGAAACCACTTACTCATCCACCTTCTTCACCAAGCCATCCTGTAAGACAGTGGTTCTCAGCCCTCCTAATGCTGCGGCCCTTTAATACAGTTCCTCATGTTGTGGTGACCCCCAAGCACAAAATTATTTTCGTTGCTACTTCATCACTGTCATTTTGCCACTGTTATGAATTGGGCGACCCATGTGAAAGGGTCATTCAACCCTCCATATGGGTCGCGACCCACAGGTTGAGAACCACTGCTCTAAGAGGTCCTCTGCTGAGTTAACCAGGTTCCTCTTCCTTTGGTGGCTCAAGAAAGAAATCAATAGTCATTTTGACTCTTCTGTTTTTCTGAGTCAGAACCTGGAAGCACATTCCAAATTTTGCTTAGTTTTGCCTGCCTTTCTCTTTAATTGTACTCTTTCCCATGCCTTTTCCATCCCAATCACCAGGGTATAGCTTGGGCCCTCATCCTTTCTTGATGGGATCATTATCAAAACCTCCACACATACAAAAAGTAAATAAAATGAGTGGCTGCCAGTCTTTCACCTTGATTGCACCGTGCTCTCAAATGTCAGGAAGAGGGAGTCCTGAACTTCCCATGGGGCTTGCTTGTTTCTTTCGTTCATGTCAGAGGGCAAAAACAAATAGGAAACACTTGTCACAATAACAACTTGACGGAAGGGAGAAATAGATGCCTAATTGTATTTCATTTTATCCTTTTAAAAGGAGAAGGATGCTTCTGCTCCTCATGAGACAGTTACAGAAACATTCTTGTTGAGCAGGGAGACAGAAGCAGCAATTCAAGGGAGGAGGACCCTGATTCCCCAGGCTTCCACGCACAGCAGAAGAAAGGGAGCCAACAGACCACGTTCTCTCATTCAGCAGTGGTTGGGCAACCCAAGTATCCGCTCAGCCTTCTCCTTTGGAACATGATGGCACTACACTATGGTGGGTCAAGGGTAAATCAGAGAGCACTGCCACTAGGGTTCTGTGAAACAGGGGGTTATTCCAAACAAGTCCTGATGAAGCAAGCCTCCACAACCAGAAGACAGCTGCAGACAAGTTCTCTAAGGCATACTCCTGGTTAGCCTCCTCAGGACGGCTTCACAAAAAGGTCCAATTAAAACAGTGGCTTCTGAGGGGACCTGTAAGGCCATTGACATTCAAGGAAGAGGAGTCAGCTAAGCAGATTATGATGACTAATGTGAGTGACTCCAAAGGGGCCATCTGGATAGGTTTTCTCAAAGGAAAGAGGCTGATCATGAAGAAGTTTTAGGAAAAGGGAAAACTTCATTGCTGAGGAAAAAGCCAGGAAATGTGTGCTGCGGAGTTTTGTTTTGAGTCATGGCAACACACCTGCTTATTCTTCAGAGGTAACAAGGGAGGTCGTAGAAGATTTGCATCAGGATATCTTACTCCATCCATCCCAGAGCTCTTATCTTGTCCCCCAATTTTTGTTACCCAACCCCAAGGAACATAGCTTGAGTCACAATTTGAAAGAAACACAATTTGAGTCAACTAGAGAAAACCAAAAGCACTGTTCGATATGATAGAAATCAAAGAGCTGTTCAGGGAAGGGTTGTTGTTCAGTGGTGCCAAGTTGATTTTAACACACAGCGACTCTATGTACAACAAATCTAAACACTACCAGGTTGCGTGCCATCCTCGCAATCACTGTTACGTCTGCCCATTGTTGCAGTCACTGCATCCATGAGGGGCTTCTTTTTCATGGAGCATGTTGTCTTCTCCAGAGACTCGTCTGCCTGATAACATGCCTAAAGTATGTGAGACGGTCTTGCCATCCTTGATTTCCCTTCTCTCCCATTTATCTACACATATGAATATAGATTCAAAGATTGATATTTTATGAATGAATAAGGTCTACTGATTTTAATGTCCAAGATGTCTGAGATTTTGCCAGAGAGAACCCCTTCAAGCTAGTCCTGATCCACATTCTCTCTGACACCAGACAGGCTGCAGGGATGTACTCCTCTGATGTAAAATGCCCTTTTCCTAGAGAGTGCACATTTATTAATATTAAACAAAGGCAAATACAATTAGCAAAGTAAATCTGAAAGAAAAAAACCCTAAGGTATTTGGGGATTACATGCTATTTTGAGATCTGCTTCATTGATGCAGATGTCAAGAGGTGAGTTTTAATTTCAAAAATGACTCATGTATTATTACAGCAGATGAAGTTATCCAAAGCAATTCAGAAGAGTGATCCAGGATCTGAATTATAAAAGATAAAATGTTCATGCTTGTCATTCAAGCTCACTTTCATACCTAAAGTGCCAAAGAAGATCAAAGATGCCAAAAGAGTATCAGGAAGTCTGCCTGGTAAGTACTTATCTGGGAACAAATAGTTATGGGAGGTTCTTTCTAACTTACATACCAACAATTACTTCCACAAGGTCATGTGAATTCTGAACTATACTTCCACTACAACTTGTAGAACAGTAATGCTGCTACAGGAGGCTGTGGAGATGATCTTGCTTAACTCTCTTATTTTAATGAAAAGCAACATAAGCCCAGGGAGCTACTCTGTTAGTAGAAAGGTTGGAATTTGAACATCATTTCTGGATTTGAAAATGAAGGTTATTATATGCATGCCACTTGCAATGGTGAGATTAACAAATTCATTCATTTAAAAAAAAGCAATCAAGCAATCAGTAGAGAACAGCAGTATTTCAGTGATTGTAAACCAAAGTTATTAGGTTGAAAAGAAGTTTCAAATGAATCATTGTTTCTACCTTAATTAAAAGATAATGGAAAGCTACCTTCATATTTCTGTTGAGATTTTTTAAAGGAAACATGGGCACTTTAGAGCTGGTGGCCTTAGATCTTCACTATGTCTAGCCTCACAGTGCAATTTAGGATTGTACTTTTTCATGACAGCTATCTATGTACTAGCAATATGATTCCAATATACCAGGGACGATGAAGGTATTTTGAGGCCTGTCTAGATTTAAGTTACTGCCATCGAATTGATTTCCACTCATAGACAACCTATAGCACCGAGCAGAAAACTGCCCCTGTGGGGTTCTGAGGATGTACATCTTTGTAGGGGTAGAAAGCCTCAACTTTCTCCCTCAGAGTGCCTGGTAGTTTCAAACTGCTGACCTTGCAGTTAGC